AACTCTTTACTTCCAAACCAGGTTTTCGATTGCGATTTACATGTGCTTTGGAATTCGCAAAACATACCTCTATCAGCTTTACAATACGAGAATGCTTATTACTTGTGGCCCAGCACTCAGCATCCCAGACCTGTCAATCAAAAACATCTTTAAATGACAGCTATTGAGCACTTAGTTCAAGTTCCTCATCAAAGACTGAAATCATATCATTCTGTGTCACACAGTCATAATTAGGTAGATGGCACTTTCTTGATTTTGCATTTCAGGTTTTTGTTTAATTGTTTTAATCTGCCTTTGTGTTCCTCCTTTCTTTCACCTCAGCAAAAATGAATTACTAGGGAAGTCATTTTAACCAAAACACGAGAGAAACAATAGAGAGTGTAAAAAATGACAAATGAATACCTTATCTCCAAGTCTTGAAGTAGCATTTACATCTGCCCCAGCCTCCAAAAGAACTGAGCAGGCATCTTCATGACCACCTTTGGCAGCACGGATCAGTGCTGTGAAACAGTACTAGGGTTTAACAGTGAAAAAATCGTTTAGTATAAAAATCAACATACACTGAAAATACTGAAACAGATTCAAGTGGCAGGATTGCTTTGTAAAAATTTTAAGCATCCTATTGCTGAGGAGAAAACATTTTAAAAATGAGATTGAAAAGTTCATTTAATATCCTTGCAACATAGAGACATGAACCCTTACTTCAAGATAAAATCTTGGAACAACCTTTTCATGTCATGCCTCCTTAACTCTGCTGAGTCTGCAAATTGCTGCACATACCTTATCCTGAAGATCAACCTTTGCTCCACATTTCAAAAGATGTTTACAGGTCTTTGAATGGCCATTATGAGCTGCCCACATAAGTGGTGTCTCACCATCCTAAAACACATACCAATGCTTATCAATTTTGTTTATCCGTGTTTACTATATGATCAATTATCAACAATCATAAAGATCTGCAACTACTGGAAAATAGATACGGTAAATTAAGGCATAGGGTGAAATATGGACTGGAACATTGGACACTTGGACTATTTTTTGGACCACTTTTTTGAACTTTTTTTTTTGGTCCACTTTTTGGATCATTTTATTGGGGGGGAGGAAGACCATCAGAAGTCAGGGAGGGGTGGGAGGCAGACTGTTATTACTTAGGGAGGGGTGGAAGATGAGCTATTAGTATGCAGGGAGGGGTGTGAGGTGGTTGTATTAGTAAATGCTACTGATTGATGGACTTTTTACTGGACCATATTTTACCCTATGCCATAAATTATCTCTGCCAAGCCCTCATCTTTAACTTACTGATAAAAACCTATTTTGATTGATTGTATTAGTAATCAATTGAAAACAGCCAATCAGAGGAAAGAAAAGTCGCTTGAGGACCCAGAGTAAAACCAAGCAAACTGGTAACAGTGCATAAAAATGTCAGTGACAAAGTTGCTGTTGTTTTTAGTTTTGGACCTGATTGGTTTAAATGAAAGTGTAATTTTTTTCTGAATCAACCACATAGCAGAGAAAAAAACCAAAAACAACCCCAAAATTGTTTGCAAAACTCAAATTATTGAAAATTGCTCTCTGTAGTTACCTTTAACTTAATATGGTAATTAATTGCAACTGATCTCAATTTAACCCTTATGATCTTGTGTAGGGGGAGGGGAGGGGAGTGTAGGGGGCTGAAGAGGGTTTACAAAGTGATCAATTAATTGAGCTATTAATTATCTATTCATTTTTCTTTTATCACTTGCCAGAAAACCTCATATCAATAACCATCAAGGTAACACACCAAAAATCAAGTTAAGATTGGTAAGCATTTTTTTTTAGGTTCCCTCACAGGAGAAACAGAATGAACAACTTCATGACAGATAATTAACAGTTAACAAAAAGATTCTACCCTTAACAACAAAGGATAAAAATGATACTGCAGAAAGTAATTCCAAACAAAACAGTTGGAACATTGCATTGAATTTATATCATTCACCGTTGTTTGATTGTTCACATTGGCTCCATTACTAAATAACAGCTGGCATACATCTGTTTTTCCATATCGGGCAGCTAATGTCAATGCAGTGTAATGACTCTGAAAAGCAATTGAAGAATTACTTTGATTACATAATTTATAACTGCATGCAGGTTATAAGTTTCAAGGCTAAATAGACAGCTTGGGCTGGCCCATTAGTTCTTCACTTCCTCAGAATAACCTTTGGAAAATAATTATGTCTGTTTCAGTGGTGGACAATAATTATCTGTTTCAGTGGCTTGCCAAGTATTATTAGAATATTGCTTCAGAGATTCCCTTTGTGTAGAATGTCAGCCAGTCCTGAAATGCAAGGTTATGTGATTGCCGACAATGCTTTGATTCAGTCAAGCTTCAAATTCTTGCTTGTTTTCTGATATTATCATACTAAAATATGACATAATATCATAATTATGTAATAATTATGATGGAGTCTCCCATTGATTTTGATGTATAATATATGATCCAACAAAATGTTCAGTTTGAATGTTTGAAAGGATTACCAGTTAAATATACATACCTTTGTAAATGCATCAACTTTGGCACCATTTTCCAAATACAGTTTACACACTGCAGTCATTCCACTTTTAGCTGCCTGCATCAATGGGGTCCTAAACCACTAAGAAAAGCATAGAAAGCAGTATTCAATCTACTGTAACAGAGTCTGAGAATTTGACTTTGTAGCCATCACCTGTGAGACTGAAAGCTTACTATTGGGGGTCCTAATCCTTAAATGCCAAGTTAAAGTCTTTTCAATTTTCTTCTTGAAAATCAGCACTCAAGACAGGAAATTTCAGCTCTGTAGACTGTAATCTAATCACTTTTACACAATCAACTGAGGATTTCATGAACAGAAAAAAAGTTATGATTTCAGTGAAAAAATGTCAAAAGTTTATAAATTTGAATTTTTATTAACAAATTGATGTTTCACCTGGTCATTGAATAAGAAATGTTTGATCACCACTGATAACACCTTAAACTCCCAAGATCTTATGAGTGAATTTCTCCTTACTGTCTACCACACAATTCAAATATCTTAGTTCAGGGAATTTGGTATTAGATCAACCTAAGTAATTGGTTGATTCATATTTGTCTTTATTCTCACTACTTGCCTACTTGATAGTGTATTGATATTGTAAGGAGAAATTCTCTCTTGGTCACTCATGGGAATTAAAGGGTTATATGCACCGCTAAGTAACAAGTAATTTGTAAACAAGCAAATTAATACAACTATATAAAAGAAAAAAAAGGCCAAATAATGTAAAAGTATACCAATTGTGCTACATAACGAAAGCAACTTTTAGTGGGGAATAGCCTGAACTTTATCCTGTGATACTATTAATAGCATGCCAGTAACTGCAGAGTCATAAAGACAGGTTTTTCAGGGGAAAGGGGGAGGGGTAGACGGTTATACAATATTATGCTTACCAATTCTGAACCTGCTTTCCAGTTCACATCTGCTCCTCTATTAATCAATTCTGAACATTTTTCAACATCCCCTTTCTCCCCAGCATAGAACAGCTGCTCACTTAGGGACTTTCCCTGTCACAAATATCAGAATATTCTTTTGATTCAAGAGAAATTAATCATCAATTCTATAGAATTGATGATAAAATAGATGTCATCTGACACTTTGGGCTATGTTCCCATGTATGTGCACATACATAGGAAAAATAAGGTCCAACTCCCCTTAATTTCTCAACCCTTGCTTTTTATAATTTTTTCAATTATCTCTACTGCCATTTGCAAAGCTGAAGTTATCATCACTTTGTCGGGCATTGAGGTACATTTCGTAGGCTAAAATGCAGATTTTAGAAAGCTCAAATGTATTTTGGTCCACTGACCCACGCTCGCACAATTGTTCAGACTGCTTTATTGACTTGTTCCATATTTCATTTTCTCAATGCTCTCCAAAGTGATATTAATTAATAATCAATATAGTTCATGTTCTGTTTTTAGAACGTGGTTGTGCCCGCGAAAATAAACTATTTGTTTTATTATAGTATTACAGACATCATTTACAGAGTAATTCCCAAGCGTGAATCGGCTGGGGCGCCCCATCGAGAACTTTCACTGCCACATTTGTTAACATAAGTTTCTGATACGGACAATGCTCGCTTAAATTATCCTTAACATAGGTATATCTCAGCAACGCAGTACGTTCGAATTTGCACGTGCACACGTGCAAATTCGATCTAAATCCACTTTAAAGCTTAAACAAAACATTGCTGTTACTGATCTACTTTTAATAATCCTGATGCATATAACAGGAATCATGTAACATTTAAAACTATTACAATTTGAGCTGACTCGTTGAAGAGTTTGCTCCTTTCAGTGTTACTCACTGGGCTTATAATTAATTTTCAACTGCGAAAAATTCTCATATATGGCAGACAAACACATAGCAACTTGATACATTTATACGAAGCAGCAACAATCTCGACCAACAACCACGACCAATAACTACTTGCCTCATCGGCGTCCTCTGACCTCTTGCTGGCTTCTTGCTTTTTGAACTCAGACTCCATGTTTTGGATTCGTCTGCGGCAAGTTTCTGCGCTATCGGAGCTCCATCAAACAGAGCATTTGAGTAAACCCAAAGGTCACAAACTGTCAAACACCATTTGTAAGATTCTACTAAAAATCCTAACTGAAGGCGCGCCTTGTCAATTTATGAAGGTGAGATGATGTCGAAATCTATATTTAGACCGGTGATGCTCGAGAGAGGGGAAATTTCAGTGTGGCTTCGATTTCTCGCTCTTTCGGTTCTGATCGTAATTCCCTACTAAATTATTCATTGCTATTTCCAGAAACGTCGAGGGCACCTACTTTCTCGGAATTCTGAACCTAAATATTCAATTTGAGGTTGTTCAAAATTTTCAGGAAGTGCTTCCACAGCTTTCAAACATTACCGACCCCCTCCCCGACAGGTTTTTAGTCATGGATCAAGCGTTACCATAGTCACCAAAGTGTTTCGTCCCTCAATATG